GCCACTCCATCCTCCTCCACCCCTACATCCTCCCTACAAACAGAGGAGTAGCAGATCTGACCATGGCAAGGATTGTCCTGGATGATTTCCTCTTTTTAGTGTATCGATAACATGTTTCCTCAGCTGAACCACTGAGTATAATAGCTTCGAAATCTTCAGACGGAGAGCCTCCTCAGCAGCAAGTGTGATTAGTTATGGAGGTGCTAATATGAACTAGAAGTACTGCCTGCCCTATCAGGCAGAAGGGCTGTGTGTAATGCTGGCCTGGTGGGCAGAGCAGTGCAGTATAAATGCCTCCATTAAAGTTACCCCTCCCTCTCTCCTTCCATTTCTTTATTATAATTTTTTTATAACTCTGTGTTCTAGCCTTTATCTCTCATTGTCTCTCGTCTGTGCTATTTTAATAACCTCCTGACTAGTTCCCATGTTCTAGTTTCTCTCTGCCTCCTGTTATCACCCCCAATACCTCCTATATCTTCTTCCAAACGAATTCTTAGATGGCAGAGTTTGTGAATAAGTTTCCTTTATAAAGAATAAAAGGAAAAGAACTAGAGAGTCTATTTGTCCCAGTACAATGACCTACAGATTCTGAACTCTTCCATTATGAAACATCTAAGAGTGGCAGAGAAAATATTTTTAAACACCTTTTAAATAAATAGATGAACATGTAACAATCAAAGGAAATCTGGTGAGGCCAAGAATAAAGCATGAGTCCAAACCCAGGGAGGTAGGCTAACCTGGGGCTCTAATCCTCCAGGGCAGCTCTGGGTCTGGAGGGCCAACCACTACTGGGCATAAAATTCAACAGCTTTAAGCACTAAAGAACAAAGAGATGGAAAATACAAAAGAGCAGTTAAGACACTCATGAAAGGAAGTGAGAAGTCAGAATTGAGTGTTACAAGGTTATGGGAGTAGAAACGAGGCAGATGACAATAGTCAAAGCTATAACGGGTACAGATTTTTCAAAATGATGCACAGGACGCTCAGAGAACATCAGGTGTTAATCTAAAAGAAATCCATACTTAAATAAATTTTTAGACTCAGAGTAGACAAACCTACACTGATGGTAGTCAAAAGACCATGAAATAAAAAGGAATTGTCAATCTGGGATTTTTTTAGGAAATCCTTTTTTTATACACAAAAATAGAAAAGTATCTGCCACCAAAACCCTTACTAAAGGAACTAAGGATAGACTTCAAGAAGTAACTAAAAATGCCTCTGAAGAAAATTTGAATAATGGAAAGAAGTAATAAAGATAAAAGTAAAATGAGGGTAATTCTAAACAAACAGTAGCACCTTATAAAATAATAACAATATCAGTTTCTTAGTACTTTTTTTTAAAAAGCTAAAGTAATAGGCATTTCTCTTACTTAAGTGGAGAAAGGTAAATGGCTGGAATTAACACACTCTAAGGTCCTTGTATTTTCAGGAAGCAAACCAATTGATTATCTTTGGACTTAATAATACTTATCTTTGTAAAGATACACATTAAGAACCTCTGTGAAATCATCCAAACATAAAAACAGCATCCTTTAGTTAAGTTCCATCAACATCTTGTCACAGTGGATACCTGGATATTTGTTAAAATACATCTGTTTACCAACTCCCTACCACTCTTGTAGTTAAAGCTTTTTAGTCACATTCACTGAATTTCCTGTTGATCCCTCATGCCTCATCCCATGGTGTTTCTTTATAACCACAGTTAAAATCATTACCCAGTTGTGTGTCCTCAGTGGCACATGTGCTGGGAAGTGAGTTTCCATGCATTTGTGATCATTGTTCTGAGGAACGGTGTCTTGGCTCCTGGCCCCCAGCCCATCCTGCAGTTCACAGTGTGTGTCAGAGCGGTTGCAACAGTGTGTATGGGGGAGGGGTTTGAAACCACAGCAGCCTACTCCAGTCCCCATGGTCCCCATTTTCAAGTCCACTTGTCTGCCGCGCTCTCCTGTGTAAAATGGAAGTGATGATAATACCCTTATCATCATGGCACAGCTTAGGTGGATTAACACATGTCAGAGCACACACTAACTACACTGATGCACACTTGCTTCTTGGTTGTCTTATTGGGAGGGCTGCTTCATTCAAGTCTTAAACAACTAAATTGTAATTGACCAAAGGCAAAATTAAGTCTGATACTTCTGAGAGAGACGGGAAAGTCCAGAGTGCAGTGCAGGGTAACATAGCATTCATGTCAGGGGTGACTTTAATTTCACATTTCACACAGAGAGTTCTTAGGGTCTGTGGCTAGTAGGCTTGGTATGGTACTGATGAAGAACATTACATTTTAAAAGTAGAAAAACAGGTTTGCAGATGTTTGCACTGAAGGGACCTCATGATGCCCCTGAGCTAGCTTTGGAATTTGAAGTAAAGCTCTTCGAGGCCAGGACCTATGATCCCCCTATAGAAAGTGTCAGGACTTTCTCTAAGTTTCCTCCCAGCATTTAGCCAGTGCTTTGCCTTAAATTATATGCATTGCCTACATTTTGAAACGAAGGGACTGAAGTCCTGAGAGGTTGAGTGACTTGTTCAGAGTTCCCAATTAGGCGTTGGTGGATGGTAGGACAGCGTCTAGAAAACAGCTAGCTTGCTTTCCATCTGCCTCCTTCACCACACCACACTGTCTCTGATCCTGCTCTGTAACAGCCTGCACTCCTTCTGTTATGCATGGTTTTTACGCTGGCCTTATCAGAATTTGTCATCTCCTGAACAGTGTAGTGAATATTATTATACATTTGATCTGTGCTTCTATTTCGTATTAGCCAATTCTTTTCATTACAAAAGAGATTATGGCATGTTTGCTTTGGTCATACATTTTTGAGTAGACACTTTTAAGCTTCACCTAGTGGAAACAGAAGAGATGGTATTTTCTATTTCCCATGACAACCTGCAGAGCTCTTGTTTTAGGCCTTTCTTGCCAGGTGGTTATCTCAGTATGGTGCTGGCAGGAGTTCTGGGGCTCTGTTGGTGAATAATTCACCTAGTTTCCAAGCCTAAGATTTCTGAGCACTCATTTAAAAGAGACTTAAAGGGTCTGCCTAAGAAAAATGTACTTCCTAAATTAACCAAGTACCACATTACAGAAGGTCTAAAGACAGCCAAATACTTAATAAAAGGATGTGAATAAATGACCCCTGCTATCTATTTAACGTATTTAGAAAAATCACATTTAGGTGACAGTATTTTCCATTATAGATTTTAATTTATTAGTGTTATGGAATAAATTGTAAACAAAAAATGCCAGTGAGATGTGTGGGTGGGTGAAGGCAATGTTATTTACTGTCAGCGGGACTATAAATTAGTCCAGCCATTATGGAAATCAATATGGAGGTTCCTCAAAAAAAAAAAAATTGAACTACCATATAATCCTGCTATTCTTCTGGGTATGTTCCAAAAAGAATCAAAGTCATCTTATAGTAGAGATACCTGCACACCTGTGTTTATTGTGACACTACTCAACAATAGCCAAGTTATGATATCAGCCTAAGTGCCCATCAGCTGATGAATTCACAGAGAAAATGTGGCATATGAATGCAATGAGATATTATTGAAAGAAAAGTGAAATTATATCATTTGCAGGAAAATGGATGGAACCTGGAAATCATCAGTTTCTAAGCAAGGCTCAGAAAGACAGTATCACATTTTCTCTCATATGCAGAATCTAGATTAAACAACAACAACAAAGAGACTTAAAAGTAGAAGGACTATTTGGGAAGAGGAAGAGAACCAGTGGGAAAGGAGAGGGGAAACGAGAAAATAATGAGGAGGTGAATATGATCAAAGTACATGATATACATGTATGAAACTGTTGTGATGAAATTCATTTGATATACAATTAATATATACTTATTAAAAAAGAACAAAGTGTGAGATGGTTTGCAAATGTATACTTTTGCCAAGGATAACTTTTAAGAGTTTATTAAGTAAATAGCAGGGCATAGTGACTCACATCTATAATCATAGCTACTTGGGAAGCTGAGATTGCTACAGCAGGAAGCATAAGATAGGAGCATTACAGTCCAGGCACACCTGGGAAAAATTGGGACCCTATTTTCAAAATAAGCAGAATAAAAAGGGTTGGCAGAGTGGCTCAAGCAAGAGAGCAAAGTGCCTGCTTAGCGAGCACAAAGCCCTCAGTTCAAACCCCAGTACCACCAACAAAAACTTTATTAAGTGCATAGAGAAATTCTTTGTACTCCAGAAAAATATAATCAAAAGGAATGTAAAAACTTCTGAAAGCATTAAGTAATTTGGAGAATCTGTGACAGTGTCTAATGTCTGCCTTGTTCTGTGAATTCTGAAGATGAAAGATACATGCTCTCAAGTCACAATCTAGTGAAAGACAGCATTTAGAAAAAAAAAATTCAGAACTGGCAGTGTGGCTCAAGTAGTAGAATGCTTGCCTATCAAGTGCAAGACCCTGAGTTCAAATCCTAGTACCCCTCTATAAAAGAAAAAAAATTGTACTGCATTAAGATTTGCAGCCAAAATCCGCAAGGTTGCCATAGGTGTGATGCCAGTTATAGCTGCAATCTAGTCCAGGGTGTTCGAGAAATGCTGAAAGAATAGTCCTTTCATAATCTAGCCTTTCTCTTGAATTGATAGGTATCTTCAAGTTGGATTTCTTGTTTTCTCAGTCTAGAAGTCATCTGTACTAGAGGGCAGAGGGTAGATCCATGCTACCTGGGTTCCTTTTTGGCTTCTTCTCTTCACAGTTGTCTGACCATGCACAGGTTACTTCTGTGTGATTCAGTTTTATAAAAAGAGAAGAATCATCCTACCTACCTGGTAGAATTTTCGTGAGGATTAAATAACACAGTAAATGGAAAATGTTTTTGAATACTGCCTGGTACATCATAAACCTCAAGAAAATTTTAATTCTCATTATCATTCTTTTTGATAGCTAGTAAACTAGAAATATTGAAACATAGTCACATGATGATTTAGATTCTCCTGAAATGCTGATTTCTTTCAAATAAAATTTTACATTTTTCCCCCTCTAGCTCCAAGAGGAAAGCGAGGATGGAAAACCTTTTATGCTGTCCTGAAGGGAACAGTCCTTTACTTGCAAAAGGTAAATATGGATAAAAATGAAACCCACAAGAAATTATAATTAAACAGGGTACCTCCAAAATACCTGTTGCAAAAAAAGCTAGCCCAAACTCCCATAAGACTTTGATACTCAAATTCTTTGTGTGCATGTGTATGTGTTTACTTTTTTGTGAAAAAATTATCTTTATATATATATATATATATATATACACACATACCTACATATGTATATACACACACACATATGATCAAAGGATTGGATGGGCTGTGTTCTAATTTTTCAATAAGAAATACTGAGCATAAATTGGTTAGACCTGTGTCAGCACCAATTTCCATAGATACTTATATTTTAGATTAGTTACAGTGTTCATTTAAATATTACTATTTAGCTAGTTTAATTTCAGTCATACCTAACTCTAGACAGATGAATTTTCAAGTTCTGAAGCATTTGTACTTCCAAATTACTGGGCAAATTCCCTGTCAGAATCCTTTCCTCCAGACTCCATATTTGGTTCTGGCTGGTTGAAGGGTAGTCCCTGAACTCCCACCTCCCGGGCTCTGTGTGGGTGGAAATAGGAAAGTTGTATGTTGACTGGATTGCTGTCTAGAAAGTTCACCACTTCCTAAGGCCCAACAGTATTCTGCAGCCCGCTATGAAGGGGCAGGAACCAAATTAGAGCTAAGAGGAAGCAAGGCAATAACAACAAGGCCCTCATTGTGTCTGGCAGATGTTTTTTTCCTTTGTGATGAATAAACACAAATTTCACAGAACGTGAAATCTGTCCTCTTAAAATTTTAACTGCGTGGTACCTGTTGTGAATTATAAGCTCAATGCTGTACAGCAGATCTAGAGGACTTGCCATTTTGCAGGAATGAATCTCTATACTCAGTACAGCAGTTTTCTACTTTGTCCTCCTTCAGCCCCTGGTGGCCATCATTGTACTTTGTTTCTATGAGTTTGACTGCTTTAAATAAGTCCTGAAAGAGGAGTCATGCAGTATCTGTCGTCCTGTGAGCACCCTGCAGCATGTTTGAGAATCTACTGCCTTTTACTGCTGCACAGTAATTGCTTTATATGTATGTTCCATATTTTTTATCCGTGCATGGACATGTAGATTATTTCCACTTCTTTGGCTAGTATGAGTAATGTGGCTGTGAACATGGAGACGAAATACCTCTTCAAGATCATAGTTTTATTTCTTCTGGATAACTACCTAAAGGTAGCATTATTGAGTAAACTATTGTTTTTAGTGAGGAACTCTACGCAGTCTTCCAACATGACTACCATTATGCATCCCAACAATGATACAGAAGGCTTTCAAATCCCCCACATTCTCATCAACACTGTTAATTTTCATTTGTTTTAATAGCCATTTTAGCAGACATGAAGTGATACCTAGTTATTTTTATTTGCTATTAGAAGTAAGAAAAACCAGAAATGTTTTTCCTTCTCTGTACTCTCATGCCAAACACAGAATACATATGTCATCCAATATTCACCAGAGTATGCCAGCAATGTGTCCTCTAATTCATTTCAGTTCTGACACGGTCTTCCTTGAAATTGCTTCAGATTCCACAGGTTGGGGCTCAGTTCAACAAGACTAACCTCCCTTTTCAGATGCCAACAAATAGTAGAGTATCACCTACATTTCTGACCAACCAGCTGCAAATCTGGGGTTCTCACAAATCCTCCTCAGGTTATATTAGTTTACCGGAGAAGTTCACAAAACTCAAGGAAACATTTTATTTATATTTACCTGTTGATTATAAGTATATTACAAAGGAAACAGATGAATGGCAGACAGAAGAGAGACACAGGGTAGGATGTTGTAGAAGGGCGGAGAGCTTTCATGCCCTCTCCAGACGTATCACACTCCAGAAACCTCCATCTGTTCAGCTGTTGAGAAACGAGAAGTGCTTCTCAACCCATCACTTTCGGGGTTCCTATGAAGGCTTCATTATGTAAGCATGATTGAGTAAATCATTGCTAGTTGGTGAACAGCTCATCTTTTAGGCCCCCATACACGTCTCCAGGGAGATTGGGGGTGCAACTGTAACTCCTGATTTGACCTTTCTGGCTACTAGTCTCCATCCTAAGACTACCTAGGGGTCACCAGCCACTAGTCATCTCATTAGCATACAAAAGACCCCAGTGGGGGGGGTCCAAGGGTTTTAGGAGCTTATGCCGGAAATGAGTGTGAAGATCAAACATATATATTGCATATATGTAATGTATTTTATTGTAATTCGTACTATAACACTTGTATTTTCCTAATAATAGGATGTTGAACATCTTTTTAATACCTTGTGGTCATTTGTATGTCTCCTTGAGAGAAATGTCTACTCAAGTCCTCCGCTTGTTCAAACAGGTTTTTCATTTTTTTGTGGCGTTTTTGCAGTTGAATTGTAGGAGTTCCTCATAGTTTTGCCATTTACCAGTGTATTACAAATATTTTCTCCATTCCCTAGGTTACCATTTCAGAAAAATTGTTGATTTTTTGTGTGCTGTAAAGAAACTTTTTAGTTAAATATAGTCCTTCCTGTCTGTTTTTTGCTTTTGTTGCATGTGCTTTCAGAAATCATTGTCAAGTCAAATGTTATAAAGCTTTTCCCTTGTGTTTACTTCTAAGAACTTTATGATCTTAGGTCTTAAGTCAAGAATCCATTTTGAATTAATTTTTGTGCTTGGTGTATCACGGGTTTCTCCTTTTATTCTTTGTTTAGTCAGTATAGAGACTGTTTTCCTCAGTGTGTAGCGTTGACACAGTTGTTGAAGATTCGACCATGTATGTTGTAGGATTTTCCTGTTCCATTAGTTTGCATTTATTCCAGTGCCATACTATTTGCTACCATGTCTTTTTAATACATTTCAAAATCAACAATGCTCTCCAGAAATTCTTTTTCCAAGTTGTTTTTGACTAACCAGGGTCCTTTGTGATTCTTTATGAAATCTAGCATTGTTTTTTCTGTTACTGGAAAAAAATGCTTTTGGGATATAAATAGAAATTGCATTGAATCTGTAGGTTGCTTTGAGTAGTATGGACATTTTCACACAATATGAAGTGTTCCAGTTCTTGAACTTGTCATATCTTTCTATTTATTTGTGTGCAATTTTATTCACTAGTGTTTTGTAGTTTTCAGTGTATAAATCTTCTGTTTCCTTGATCAGGTTTAATTCTTAACCATTTCATACACCTTTAGATGCTGTTATAAATTATTAATTTATTGGATTATTAATTCCTTTTGAAACTAACTGTTCATTGTTATTGTGTAGAAATGCAGGGATTGTTGTGTGTTGATTTTATATCATGCAATTTTGATGATTTTATTTATATTAGTTCTAACAGGATTTTTATGGCATCTTTAGGTGTATTATATATATATATGATCATATCCAAAATTGTATCAAACTATTTCTACCTTTTAAATATTTATATTATGAAAGGGTAATGAATTTTATCAAGTGCTTTTCTTGCATTTATTAAAGTAGTCGTGCGACATTTATCCTTTGTTATGTAGTGTTTCACTTTGGTTAGTTTTCATATGTTGGTCTATCTTGCCATCCTTAATGATGATCCTTTTAAATGTACTGCTGAATTCAGTTTGTGCTAGTATTTTGGTTAGGATTTTTATATGTATGTTCATCAGGAATATTGGCTGTATTTTAGTGGTTTTTTTCCAGATTTTGATATCACGTTCATACTGGCCTCATAAAATGAGTTTGGAAGTGTTCCCTCCTCTTCAATTTTCTGTGTTTGAGAAGGGTTGGCATCAGTTCTTTAACTGTTTAGTAGAATTCACTGAGGAAGCCATCTGGTCCTAGGCTTATCTTTTTTGGAAGATTTTTTTCATTATTGATTAATCTCCTTACTTGCTATAGATTTGTTCACATTTTCTGTTTCTCTCTGATTCATTCTTGGTAAGTTTATGTTTCTAGTAATCTATCCATTTTGGTGGCATCAGTTACAATATCTCCTCTCTCATTTCTGGTTTTACTTACTTGAGGGTTCTCTAAGAGTTTGTCAGTTTTGTTGGAAAAAAACTCAAATGCTTGGTTTCACTAATTTTTTTCTGTTCTTTATTTCATTTGTTACTGCTATAATCTTAACTCTTTCCTTCCTCTGCTTAATTTGGGGTTAGTTTATTCATTTTCTAGTTCCTTTAGGTATAAAACTAAGTTGTTTATTTGAGATCTTTTTTCTTCTTTAATGTAGGTGTTTAGTGCTATAAACTTCCCTCTTGGTACTGCTTTTGCTGCGTTCCATAACTTGATATATTGTGTGTCTATTTTCACTTGTCTTAAGACATTTCCCAATTTCTCTTTTAATTTCTTCTTTGACCCATTGGTTGTTTGAGTGTATTGTTTAATTTCCACATATTTATGAAGTCTCCAGTTGTTGTTCTGCTGTTTTCATTCCACTCTACTTGGAAAATATCAGTAATGTGATTTCAGTAGTTTTAAATTTGTTAAGATTTGCTCCCTAGCATGTTCTGTGTTTCATGTACACTTGAGAAGAACATATGTTCTCCTGTTGCATGGAGTGTTATGTGCCTGTCTGCTAGGTACGTTTTGTCCATGACATTGTTCTAATCTTGTTTTCTTACTGATCTTCTGCCTACATGTTCTTCCATTATTGAGGGGGAATATGGAAATCTGTTGTGTTGGATACATATTTGTTTGTGTCTTCCTAGTGAATTGACCCCATTATTATTACATAATGATCCTTCTTTGTCTCTTTCAACAATTTTGAGTTGAAGTCTTATTTTCTCTGGTGTGAATATAGCAATCCCTCCTCTCTTGTAGTTATCATGAACTATCCTTTTGATATTTTACTTTCAAGTTGTATTTTTGTAAATCTAAAGTAAAGTAATTTGCCAGGTGACTGGTAGCTCATGCCAGTAATCCTAACTATTCAGGAAGCAGAGATCAGGATGATCGCAGTTTGAAGCCAATGGGGCAAATAGTTTGTGAAACCCTATCTCAAAAAAACTCATCACAAAAAAGGGGTAATGGAGTCGCTC